TCAATAAGATAAAGAAGTATTTTCATCCCTTGCACAAACACAGAAGTTGCCAATGCTCCACAGTTTGAATAACATTTGCTTATAGAAAAACACTAGACATCATTTCAGGCCACTGGTCCAAATGCAGGTGAAGTCCAAAGTCCAGCATTAGAAATGAAACAAGTGGGGACCTGCTAATTCTCCCATCTCTGCTTTCCCCCCTCTTCCCTACTTCTCTCACACTCTCTCTTCTTCCTGCTACCCCTTTTCTTACTCTCGCTCTCTCCTCCATGTCTGTCACTTCCTTTCTGCCCCCACCCCATCACTCTTTCTGCCCGTCACTCTCCCAGCCTCCCACCTCCTCCCCCCCACACACACACAGCAGCTTAAAGCAGAGGTGACAGCAGCCACTCTCCAGGAATCACAACGGATTGCCCAAATACAGAGATCAGTCCCTCTTAGGGCTGCCAGCTCCATGTTGGGAAATACCTGGAGATCTGGGGGTGGAGCCTTGGGAGGATGACGTTTGAGCTTGGAAGTGACCTCAGCAGGGTATAATACCAGAAACTCTACCCTTCAAAGCAGTCATTTTCTCCAGGGGAACTGATCTCTGTCATCTGGAGATCAGTTGTAATTCCAGGAGATCTCCAGCCCTCACCTGGAGGTTGACAACATTAGTTCCCCTGGAGGAAATGATGGCTTTAGAGGGTAGAGTCTATGGTGTTATAGCTGTCTGAAATCCCTCCCCGCCTCAATCCCCACCACCCCTAGGCTCCACCTCTCAAATATCCAGGAACTTCCCAACCTGGAGTTGGCATCCCTATCTCCTTCCCATCCAACAGCCAACCTAACTTTATCTGCCCCTCTGTCTTCAGCTTTCCATCTCCTTTCTCCCTGCAGCTTCTACTGAGGAAAACTATAGTCTTTCTTCCACAGTGGGGACTAAAGCAGTTTATTCTTGCCTCCTTTTCATCTGCACAACAACCCTATGAGGTAGGTTAGGCTGAAAGTATGTGACTGGTCCAAAATATCCCAGTGAGCCTTCACAGCAAGATGGGGATCTAAACCTGGGTCTCGCAAACCCTACTCTGACCATTATACTACACTCACAGGGTGGCTGCTGTTGAACAGTAGCAAGCAGCCAGGCCTAGTTGAATCATGCATGTCAGGTGATCTCAAGTCCCTCAGACTTTACCACAGAATCTCCAGGAATTTCCCAACCTGAAGTGGGCAATCCTAGTCCCAGGCCTGGCTCCAACCCCACTGATATTTAGCCATTCATACTGCAGGAGGAATCCTCCCCAATCCCAGATCTAGTCCTGCTTTTTGCCCCCCCCCCCCGTCTGCCTGCCTGCCTGCCTACCCCACCCCCCTCTGGATGTTGCCTGGAGTCAATCCCTGCAGCAGCCATTTCAAAAGGTTTTTTAAACTTTTTGGATTTTTCTGCAGCCCCACAGAGTCCCCTGATTCTGTAGAAAAACCTGTTGGGGGAGAATGTGTCCCCTATCTGCAGAAATAAGTATGGACATGCAGAGGGGACTGTTGAGAATTAGATATACAGATGGCCAGTATGTCACTCAGGTCCCAGCTCAGCCACAGACACACTAGGTTGCCCTCATGAGTCCTTCAGTTCCCCACATGTAAAAGAAAATTAGAACAGTGACACACCTCATAAGGCTACCATGAGAAAGAACAGTATAAGAAAATGCTGTTATATACCATGAATATTAAGGTAAAGGTGAGATAGAAATTTCAGTAAGTTTTCTAAACTGGCCTTGGAGAATTTAGTATGAATTGATTTAAAATCAATCCATGAGTTCAATGGGATTCACTAGAACTGCAGCCCTACATGGATGGAGCTTAGGGGGCGCAGTCACCCATGGGAGGTTGACTTGAGAGGGACTTTTCCATGGAGGCCTGAGTGTTCTACAATTCACTTCCAAAACAGACTGGTTCCACGTAACAGTGTTATCTTCTCTTATGCATATTGTTTAGTGTTGCATTACATTGGTTATTGGAGGATGGTACAAGGTTGGATATTCTATCATAAAAGAGGTTACAATTATTTACACAGTATCCACACTATAGTATATAGGTATAAGGCAAATATAAGATTTGTTGTAAAGTAAAGCAATGTAACTCATTCGACTTGTTATTTTATTGTTAAAGCAAGAAGGAATATGTTGTTGTTGTTATGGTAATAATATGTATGAATTAGTGTTTAAAATGAAAAAAAATACTTATAAAAAAGTGAAATAAATCATTTTAAAGAAGTTAGAAAGAAAATCCTTGTGTTCTACTCGCACTTTACTGTACAAGCAAGGTTTATTAGTCAGCATATCCAAAATGAATGGATGAGAATGGAGTGCCAGCTACTTACATGTTTGTAAGTCTGATCAAAAGTAAATTCAAAAGAAAAACTGCATCTCTCAGTAGCTACTGCCACTAGATTCCATGACCAGCAGTTTAACATTTTCACCACATGGGCTGGGAATTAAATGAGTCTTTTCCTTTTTGTTCTCTTGCCAATGGCACACACCACAAACGTCACTCTCCAGTAAGTACCTTAGTTTTTCATGGCTTATTTCTCCTGCCCTTATTGTCTCTATGAAGGTTTTCCAAGCTGGGGTGCAGGGCACTGCCAGGAGTTCTTTAATTAACTTCACCTCCACTGACAACAAACTCACCATTTAAAGGGCATCCTTTCAAAACTAGGCAAAGGGAACAACCAGTGTTCTCTAACTGGTGTGTTCTTCCAACAGAAAATTCCCTCCTTCAACTGGGGGACTTGGGTCATGAAAACATTGAGATAAAACAATTCCTTTCACCCTCCAGCCAGCCCAGTGGCCCCAAAGTCCTCTTAAATGGCAAGACAGATACCAAACTCTTAATTTTACACAAGCCATTCCCTCCCTTGACCTCCATATGCCACCCCACTAGGAGGCAACTTTGCCAAATGTTATGCCCACCCCACTTCTGCTTTCTTGACTGACAAAATGACCTAGGGGAAATGTTTAAGAGCTCAGGATTCCAGAGTGAGCTAATACAGGATGCCTTTGGTTACTGGAGGGGTGTGTGTGAAGAAGCTAGAAGCCTCTGAACGTCCCACCCCCCGCCTTCTTAAATTTAAAAATGGGATGAATGTTACCATTTTTGGACATGAGTTTTGCTCAAGCCCAGCCCTTAAACCGCACCATTCAAAACTGAAGTGAGCTCCGTCCCGCTGTGGAAGAGATATTTGTGGGCAGGCGGCGGGAGGGAGAACGTGGCTTTCCCCTAATAAAACCCACGCGAAACTGTTCAATCGGTCCTCTTGCGAGACCAAGAGAGACTCAGCAAGACGCGACGGGCTCTGGTTTCTCAGAATGCTGGAAAGAATGGGCGGACGTCATAATGGAACTGGGCGAAGAGCCGGATCGCCGCGGCCGGCTTGCGTTGCCCCCCTCCCCCCGACGCTCTGCTGTTCCCGGCCGCACAATACAATTTCCGTGGCCGGTAACTTTACGTTAGAAGAGAAAAGTGCTGCAGTTGATAATGACACCTAGTAGCAGGCAAGCGCGTTACCTGCCCCGCCTCCTGGACACGTCCTGGCTTCAGCCTCGCAGGGCGAGAGAAGCCACCCTTAATACAAGCAAGGCGGCAGCGGCAGCAGCCGGGCGTGCCAACGGCAGCCACTTCCCTATTAGAGCAGCCCCTCCAGGAAGGTTGCTTTTGTCAGTTGCGTTGCGAAACGCCGAGGGGGGCAGCAGAGCCAGCCTGTCTCCCGGCGCTCGTAGCGAAAACATCTGTTGCTTTAGAGCGGCAGCAGGAGGAGGAGGAGGAGGAGGTAGTTGTGGTAGAGGAGGAAGAGCAACTTCGGGGCTGCCGAATTGAGCAACACAAACGGCTCCAGTTCTTTACCTCGCACCACATTTCCTTAACAGATTGTATTATTTCAGCAATATCTCCCCCCCCCCAGGCAATCACCTCCCCTCCCTTCTCCAACAACCCAATGCTTGCATTTCACAAATTAAAAAGGGTTTCCCCCCCCCCCTTAAAAGTCTGCAAGCAAGCCAGCATCTCACAGCATCTCCTAAATGCAGACTGTCACCTGCCTCAATGTTAACCAGCCTTCCCCGGTTATTTTAAATTGCACTTTGTAATCACATTATCGCCTCCTCCCTCACTGCCCAGCCTGCCAGTTAAGCTCTGCCTCTCAAACCCTGCCCCCTGTGCCCCCTGCCTTCAGAAGGGAGACAATGGTAACTAGAGAGACGAGGCATTTCCTGTGGTGGCACCTTACTTCTGAAATGTCTTCCCTCCCCCCAGGGTTGGCCTGGTGCCTACTTTACCTTGCTTTAGGTCCCAGGATAAAGCACATGTTTTTACTCAGACTTTTAATTAGTGGTTTTATCTTATTGGGGTTTTTCTTTTTAGTGCTCTGCTGTTTTATGGACTATATGCTGCTTATGTCTAATGACTTGTTTTTGTACTGTGGGTTTTGATTGTAAACCGCCTCCAGGAGGTGGTGTAGAAATACTCTAAATAAATAAATACGGAGCACAGCTATAGAGGGGCCACTGTCTGTCCACGCACAGCATTAACTGCCTGTCCCCGGGGGGGGGGGGGAGATAATAAATCTCCATGACCGGATTTGGTCTAAGGCTGCCATAGCACATCCCTCCCCTGACACAGATGGAAAGCTCTGAAACTGCACGAGACACCAACGGGAGAGCGACGCAGCCAGGGATCCGGAGCTTCCTACAGGAAACCTGCACGGCGACCAGCACCCTTCGCAGCAGCTGTAAGGCTCCGGGATCTACAGCCCGGGCGGGGTGGAGTGCGATAGGCAAACACAGGCGAGGTGAAGAGACATGTGCCGATTCACAACCACGCACGCGAATCTAGTCCACGACGTCCGGCCAGATGCATCCCCCACCCCGTCCTCCACGCTGTTAAACGCCTCCTCTAATGGGAGTTTTCTGCAGCCTCCGGCAATACTTTCCCACCCTGGAGTTGGAAGAAGGTGAGATCCAGGTTACCTTTCTCTGCTGCTTTTCCCAGGCTGGATCCAAAAGTAGATCCCTGTCCCAGTCTTCCTCTGGCTGCATGTAGTCATTGGTTTGCTGAGAGTCATAATGATCCATCTTTGCGAGGTGTGCGTTTGCGTCCTTTGGTTTTGCTTTTTTGATGCTTCCCTCACCCCAAATGAAAGGCGCCCTGCTCAAGCACAGCGACAGAACAGAAGGCAGCTCCCACGGCGAGATAGCAACCTAATCTTTGCACACACCGAAGGAGGAGGGGACGGAGGAGCAAGGAGAAAGCAGCCCTGCCTCCGGCGTGACCTCATTGGCTAACTGGAGTTGCCCAAAGTTCATTTTAGAGGGCTACCGAGGCTCCCATTGAGACTCTCAAATGCCAATCGCAACTCGCAGCTGCTCCTATAGGTTGATTTAAGAATCCCCCCCCCTACCCTTCCCTTTATACATGTGACGTCTGAAGTGCATCGACTTGATGGAATGGGCGTCGTGACGTCTCCTTGTAGTTGGAGGGGCTTTAGAGTAGCAGGAAAAAGCTTGGAGAGGGATAACATATGCTCTAACCTCGGCAAGGAATCGTAGGGAGGAGTCTTTTTTCATAAAATCGAGTATGAACGTTCTCTCTTCTGGTTTCTTATACTAAGTATTAACTTGAAGGCAAACGTGCAACAATGTAGAATTCTCCCGCCCTCTTCACTTGCAGTACTTAGACCATAATTCTGTGTGCGTTAGTTTCTGGGACAGGAAATTTGAATATGGTATCTACAAACATTTCAACCTGGGAATTCTGCAAAAATCAGCCTGTGGTTTTGTTTTGTTTTTTAAGTGCACGTTGCGAGAGCTTAAATGTTATGGAACTAATAACAATACTTTTTGCAAAATGTTCAGCTTGTTAAATGCTTATTAAAAAATCCACCACTGAAGGATATTTTTAAATAATACTTTTCCTTTATGAGCTGTAAATATTTCACTTTCAAAAGTCAAAACGTTACCAACTCTGAAACACTTGAGACGGTTATTTACTTCACAGATTGTCTTGGAGCAGACCAGAGTACTCCAGCATTAACCAACCTGGAAGCTCTTCTGAGAGCTTTCCTGCAGAGCATGAAGGCAACCTCCCTCCTTTGCCTGTCCCATCCCCAATCCCCCCCCCCAAAAAAATCTGGTACTTTAGAAACAGCTGTCTCAGAACAAGGACCTCTCTTAATTATCATTGCCCTTACCAGGTGATAGGTCTGTTCTCCATGGCAATATTCTCCACAGAAAATTGCCAGTTAATGCTAACCCCACTCCCAATTTCTTCTAGGTAATTTAGAGAAAGAAGAGCATGGGAAATAGAGCATGATACATTTGTTAGTGTTTGGCTTGGAAAATTGTAATATAATAGGTGCCATGCTTTATTTCATGTGATATTTATTTATTTAGAACATTTTATGCCACTACTTCAGGAAACCTACTCAAGTTTCTTGTTTTATTTTCTTTTTTAAAAAGAAACCCCAATGTTCCTGTAATATGCAAATTTAGTGTACTTGCTCTCAGGAAAGCTGCATTTCAACAATTACTCATTTAGAAGCAGATTTAAACTAAAGTTTGGGTGTGCTGCATACTGAAATGATTAACATGGAAATATTTGAGACTGAGTTGAAAGCTTCTTATTCTGAAATATTCATTATTCAGTTATTTGCAGTGTTAAGGGAATGGTTCAGAAAGGAGCTTTTATAAAGAGAACAGGACAATGGGCTATCCTGTCCTTATATATAACTGAGTTTTGGTCCCACAACATTCTATGCTTGCCAAAATCAGTTGGCTCCATGATGTGTCAATCACAAGGTGTCTCTATCCACTGGCTGTGTTGCCTGAGTTCTCTCCCACCCATTGCAGCCTAGGCCACTCTTCTCTGATTGGGCCAGCATTTCAAGGTCATTTGCATATGGAAGCTGATTGGACCTCACTCCATTCCACACCTCAAACATCCTCCTCCCCCCACAAGACAGTTGGGACTGTCACATACATGTGCAACCTGGTGTATTCCGAGGTATAATATGTCCTCACTCACAACACATCACTTCCCCTTCAAAAGAAACAAACCCAATAATACAATCATGCCACACCAAAAAAAAGACAGATCACACCACAAGCACAATACCACAAGGCAAAAAATGATAGGAAAAGGTGCCAGCAGTCACCCCATTACTGCCACAGTGGCAGTCAGGGCTTCAGAGCACGGTGGGGGGAAGATGGAAAGCTGATCAATGAGGGGGAAATGTAGGTTGATGCTTGGCTGGGAAGTAGATAGGGTTGCCAACTCCAGATGGGAAAATCCTGGAGATTTGAGAGATGGATCCTGGAGAGGGTGAGGTTTGAGGAGGAGTGGGACCTCAGACAAGTACAATGCCGTAGACTCTGCCCTCCAAACCAGCAATTCTGTAATGGGGAATCACTGGAGGTCCCACAGGGCTCTGATCTCGCTGGGGAGCTCATTCCAGAGCGTCAGTGCCACCAGGGAGAACACCCTGGTTTTAGTCGCCACCAACTTGGCGTCCCAAGGCCCAGGGAGGGCCAGACGGTTTTGTGTACCAGATCACAGTGCTCCCTGGGGACCATGCGGGGAAAGGCCTCAGGTAGGCAGGCCTCTGACCATAAAGGGCTTTAAAGGTCAAAAACAGCACCTTGAAGCAGATCCGGAATGCTATTGGTAGCCAGTGCAGCAACTTTAGCACAGGCTGGATGTGCTCCCGGATGGGGAGGCCCATCAACAGCCTGGCCGCCGCGTTTTGCACCAGTTGCAGCTTCTGGAGTTGCCCCAAGGGCAGCCCCATGTAGAGAGCATTGCAGTAGTCCAACCTCGAGGTGACCATAGCGTGGATCACTGAAGCCAGGTCATTGCGTTCGAGGAAGGGGACCAACTGCCTAATCAGCTGAAGATGGTAAAAGGCTGTCTTGGCAGTGGCTGCTACCTGAGCCTCCATTGTCAAGGAAACATCCAGGAGCACTCCCAATTCCTGATCGTCGGCACTGGCACCAACGGTGCCACACCGAAAGCTGGTAGAGGGACCCCTAACCTCGAACCACTCCGATTCAGGCATAGGACCTCCGTCTTTGTCGGATTCAATTTCAGTTGGCTCAGCCTAAGCCATCCCGCCACGTCCTGCAACGCCTGGTCCAGATCTTCCAGGGTAGAGCCAGACTGACCACCCAACAGCAGATAGAGCTGGGTGTCATCTGCATATTGGTGACACCCTAGCCCATGCCTCCGGGCAATCTGGGCAAGGGGCACATATAGATGTTAAATAGCACTGGGGAGAGCACTGCCCCTTGTGGCACTCCACAAATTAGTGGGTGCCTTCGGGACGGCTTCTCCCCAAGTGCTACCCTTTGTCCCCAACCCTGGAGAAAGGAGACAAGCCATTGCTAGGCAAGCCCCTGAATCCCCATGTCGATGAGGCGGTGGGTGAGCAACTGATGATCGACCGTGTCGAACACTGCCAACAGGTCCCACAACAGCAGCACCCCCATCCCACCCCAATCCAGATGCCTCCGGAGGTCGTCTGTGAGGGTGACCAGTGCTGTCTCCATCCTGTGACCCGGGCGGAAGCCGCACTGGAAGAGATCCAGCGTAGGAGTGTCATCCAGAAAGCTCTGCAACTGTATCGCCACCGCCCTCTCTATTAATTTGCCCAAATAGGGTAAATAGGAGACCGGCCGATAGTTGGCCAATTCCCCTTCAAAAGAAACAGACCTAATAACACAACCATGCCACACCATAAAAAAGACAGATCACACCACAAGCAGAATACCACAAGGCAACAAATGATAGGAAAAGGTGCCAGCAGTCACCCCATTACTGCCACAGAAATATACCTGAGAGTGCTGCAGAGGATGGTGTGTGGGTCCCAGGTTCATGTTATAAAAGCTGCCTGGGGGATTATGGACCATTCACAGCCTTCCTACCTTAACATACCTCACAGGGTTGTTGTGCGGATCATACAGGGGAGAGGAGAATGATGCCAGCGGCTTTGGTTCCCACTGTAGAGAAAGACTGCCCTTTCCCTAGGCAGAGGCTGGGGGGGGGGGAGATGTAAACCTGAAGACAGACAGGCAGATAAAGGTAAGCTGATGATTTCCTGGAAAGGACATAGGGTTGCAAGCTCCAGGTTGGAAACTTCCAGGATATTTTAGGGATGAAGCCTGCTGAGGGTGGGGTCTGAGGAGGAGGAAGAGGGGGACCTCAGACAGATACAATGCCACAGACCCCACCCTCCAAACAAGCTGTTGCCAATCTCCAGGTGACAGCTGGAGAGCTCTTAAAGCTCTGGTGCTAATTCAAAGTGCTGGGGGTGTGTTGCGTTCTGTCAGGGGATGCTGTGACTGTAGAAAATGAATGGGGACAGAGTACTGTTTTGGAAATCTTTAGGAATTCTCCATTTACCATAGGGCACCCATCCAGAGCCTCTGGCATTTTCTGACTCTGCTGGCATCAAAACCAATTTAAGGCAAAATAGAGATATGGAGACTTTCCCATCCTCCTTTGCATCAATCTGTCTTTGTTGGACACCACCTATGGGCCAATCGGCCTGACTCCTGCAGGTGGGAAAGAGGACCAAGGCAGTTAGAGCCGAGGCTGGGAAAAGAAACCAATCTCACAGGTAATTAGGGTTGCCAACTCTTGAAATCTTACTGGCGGGGGAGGCTCCGTTCTGACCGGGAGCCGGCTGTGTGTGTGTGCGCACGCGCGCCGCCGCGACATCACCAGAAGCGACATCAGACATTGCTGACGTTGGAGGCGTGGCCGAGCTCGTCAGGGGGGAAACATATGGTTTCCCCCCTGACGAGCTCAGCCACGCCCCAAACGTCAGCGACGAGCTCAACCACGCCCCAAACGCCAGCCCCAAACGCCAGCAACCTCTGGTGACGCAGCTTCGGGGGCGGGGTTCCCCCAGGCCCCGATTCTGTCAGGGCGGAACTCGGGGCTCAGAAGCGGGGGATTCCCCGCCCCCCGCGGTCATTTGGCAACCCTAGACCAGCCATAGACTTTCTGCCTAACCTACCTTGCGGGGTTGCTGTACAGATCACAAAGCGGAAGAGGAGAATGAAGTAAGTTGCTTTGTTCCCCACTAACGAGAAAGAAAGAACTTTGCCTAGGAAGGAGGCTGCAGAGAGGGGAGGAGATAAAGTTGCCAACTTTAGGTATGGAAATTCCTGGAGATTTGAGGGGTGGAGCCTGGACAGGGTGAGGTTT